TCTCTACTGTTATGATTTTAGAGGGTTTTTTTAATACCGGTAGCCAGATTTTGTTCATGGTTTCCTCTCTGTTGAAATTGTCCTCATGCTTGTGGATTTCAGCGGCTACTCTTTCTCATCAATTGCCATTGCCATTAAACCTGAAGGTATTGTGCAGTTTTTGTGCTGGGAATTGCTCTCATCCTCTTTTGAAGCCACTGAAAATTGGTCTCATCCCCTTTAAAGGGCATCCAAAATCCATATCTTGTGGAAACATATTCCATTGTTTAACCATGCATTTTGTGAAGAGGGGCTCTTTTTTTCTTTCCTGGCCTGTCAGTTTCATAGATGACCCCTCTCCATTTCTAAATATGTGTATGGGGGGGAGGAGGGGCTGGAAAACAAATCTCTGTCCACTTACTCCCTCCAATGTATAATCTGAGAAACCTCTATCACTTCTCCCTTTGGCAACTGATCATCTTTTGAAAGAACCTCTGGCCTTTTGTCATACTCAAGGAACTCCAACCATTCTTTGTTTACATTCCACTCCTCTACCCAAAGTAGAATATGAGATTTGGGGAAAAAGAATCAAATTGTAAGCCAATCATCCTTCATATTTCTATACTCCTTTGCGTTAGAATATTCTGTTACCATTGGCAGGACCCGGTACCAGCAGCAGAATCATAAAATCATAGAGTTGAAATAGACCTCATGGGCCATCCAGTCCAACCCCCTGCCAAGAAGCAGGAAAATTGAATTCAAAGCACCCCTGACAGATGGCCATCCAGCCTCTGTTTAAAAGCTTCCAAAGAAGGAGCTCCACCACACTCTGGGACAGAGAGTTCCACTGCTGAACAGCTCTCACAGTCAGGAAGTTCTTCCCAATGTTCAGATGGAATCTCCTTTCTTGTAGTTTGAAGCCATTGTTCCATTGCGTCCTAGTCTCCAGGGCAGCAGAAAACAAGCTTGCTCCCTCCTCCCTATGACTTCCTCTCACATATTTATACATGGCTATCATGTCTCCTCTCAGCCTTCTCTTCTGAAGGCTAAACATGCCCAGCTCTTTAAGCCACTCCTCATAGGGCTTGTTCTCCAGACCCTTGATCATTTTAGTCGCCCTCCTCTGGACACATTCCAGCTTGTCAATATCTCTCTTCAATTGTGGTGCCCAGAATTGGACACAATATTCCAGGTGTGGTCTAACCAAGGCAGAATAGAGGGGCACAATGACTTCCCTGGATCTAGACACTAGACTCCTATTGATGCAGGCCAAAATCCCATTGGCTTTTTTTGCTGCTGAATCTATTAGCAGGGTTCAATGCCAAATGGCTGGATCCAGCAGCAGGTGATCTATAGATCAGCAACTATCATTGGACTGAAGGAGCACTTCTTTCTTAAATCAGCATAGTAATATGGGAAGACAAAGTCCTGATAATTCTTTAGATCTTCCCTCAGAAGATAATCAGCAAAGACCCAAGGCTATGGGATGGCTAAGAGCATGAACACGGAAATCCCTGTTCCAAATGCCAGCTCAGCCACCATTCAATTTCCTGGATAACACAGAGCATATTGCTGTCTACCAACCCCGGGAAGGCAACATGAGGATAATAGCATTGATCAACCTCAAAGAAATACTAATCTAGGCTGATGAAACAGTTTGGTTTCTCAGGTAACACTATATAAATGTTAAGCATTATTATTACTCATCTATTTTATGTGAAAAGCATCTGCCATCAGAAGAGCACAAGGAAATGTATATGTCAAATGTGACTAGTGCAACAGATTTGAGTGCCACATGGATTCCGATATATATACACTTGACTCAGCCTCAAAATAAACATATGCAGTGCAGCTACATTATTATGCCAGGAAGAAAAATACATTCTGAACAAGTTTAGGACCCAAGGAGCGGAAAGAGCACTACCGCACTCCTTTTCTGTGTCATACAGATCTTTCAAATGGAGCATGCTTTTTCTTACAGTTTCACCTCCCGGTTTCCTCTCTAAATGTAAGCAGACTTTCCAAATCAGCCTAGTGGACTCTTAGCTCCAGCCAACAGATTGCTGCAGCTCCAGCTTATCCGAAGTTCGCCTTACTGCATCAATGATCCCAAGCCCTTTGCTTGGAAGAGTGGAAAACAAATGCAAAGAATAGAGGAGGAGTTCCCTCATGCGGAGTGTGAGAAAATACCTTTGCACATATGTGCGCACACACATAAAGGTGGTCCGAGACAGAGCACAGATCTAATCTCCAAGCCCAGGCCTTCTTGTGCCTAATGCAATAGAGCATCAGTTGGGACCAATCTGTCCAAAAGGGAACAGCACTGCCCTCTTGCAGCCAAGGTCACTGTCAGCTCAGGCTACTCGCTGCCTGGCTGCCAACTATGCCCAGGCAAAGCTTGGACCAGGACTCTGCCAATTCTTCATATATTTGGCTGAGTCAAGCCTTTGCTTCCCTTGTATTCCAGCCTTGCTTTCCTCTCTCCTCAGAGAATCACATTAATATTAAACTACTTGCTGCACTCTCTTTATCTGAAGCCCATTCATGCACACACATATTGAAATGGTAGGAAAAGCCCTTCTTAACTGCATTTTGGCCATCTTCCTAAGCTCACCGACTTGGATGCCAGTGCACTGAACAAGCTTCCAAGGAAATAGGTTTAGGATTTACAAGGAAGTCGGTAAATTCAGGTAACAAGGAAGCTTTTGCTGCTTTGTAGAGAACAGGATCTTGCAAAAGGCAGCTATTACCTGGATAGTAAATCCTCTTAGAAGAGGGCCCTCTGTTGTTCATTGTTTTGACTTGCCTTCCTTCTGTTCCAAAGGCACTGCAACACACATGAGAAAGAAAACTGCCTATGAGGAGGAGAAGGGGGGGTGTTTTGTGTTGTCGAAGGCTTTCATGTCCGGAATCACTGGATTGCTGTGAGTTTTCCAGTATGTATGGCCATGTTCCAGAAGCATTCTTTCCTGATGTTTCACCTGCCTCTATGGCAGGCATTCCATAGATATGGGCAAAACTTCAGGAGAGAATGCTTCTGGAACATGGCCATACAGCCCAGAAAACTCACAGCATCCCGGGGAATATTTTGTTCAAAACTGTTAGCTGCACCTATCCATTATCTTCCTACCCTTTCCTCTTCTGTAGATTTGGAAACAAAAGACATGGAGTGCACTCAGGCTGCACTGAAACAACTTTGCTTGTTCTTTACATCTAATTTTCACAAAACCTGTCACAGCATACTATTGTTTCCTGTAGGAATGAGACAGAGAGATGAAATGCAGGGACTCCACCTTTTCCTCCTCAATTCAAAACACTCATTTAATTTTTTTAAAGATGTCAAGAATTAGTCAGGACCAACAAAGGATTCCCCCAGGCAGCAACCAGCCAGACTTTGAAGCTGTAAGGCCATTCAATGCTAATCAAGCCAGCCAATTGCAACATTCACACTTGCTTCAAGCAGACAAGAGTCTTTTCTCCCACTCTGGACATTCCACAGATATATAAACCTCACTTGCCTAGTTTCCAACAGATTTCACAATCTCTGAGGATGCCTGCCATAGATGTAGGTGAAACATCAGGAGAGAATGCTTCTGGAACATGGCTAAACAGCTTGGAAAATTCACAGCAACCCAGTAGCTATTCATTATCGCTCAGCTTTTGAATTTGCTAGAGGTGTCTAGTTGGATAATATGCTTGGGGTTCACAGCAACCCAGTGATTCCAGCTATGAAAGCCTTGGACAGCACAATGATAGATTCTATCTTCATACACACACACACACACACACACTGCATGTGTTTGTATACACATAGATGATGAAAAGGGTATGTGTGTATGTGTGTGTGTGTGTGTGTGTGTGTGTATATATATATTTATACTCTTTTCATGATCTATGTATATACAAGCACATGCAGTCAGTCAGTCCCCCAATTACAAACATTCGACTTGCAAAGGACTCCTAGTGAAGAAAGCCTTGGACAACACACAGATGTCAAGTTTGCATCCATCACAAAAAAGGAAACCTTTGGGGAAGGAATCTGACACCCCAACAGGTCGGGGGCTCTTTTCTCCTGGCCAAGACACCCCTTGGTGCCTCTGCTTCCTGTGCAAAAACTGGGTCCCTTCCTGCGCCTTGTCTGTGAAATACCTGCCACAAAAGCAAGGCAGATGAGACATCTCCAAAGGGGATGAGGTTCCCTGAGGAGACAGCTCAGCTTGCTTTCCTCCAAGTCTCAAAGGGATAGAGAAAGCAAGGAGGGGGCTTCCTGGCTCCCCCTGCTCTTCAATAAAAAACCCCCAGGGAATCCGTTGGCGTGGAGATTTCCCAGGGGCTCCGGTCACATCTGACACCCAGAGAAGGTGAAAGTGCCCCCTTCTGTCGCCCACCACGAAGCACACGTGTCCTCAGTCCCAAGAGGTTTCCCCAGTTCCGAAAAGCCCCTATCCTCCCCCCTCCTCCTCCAACATAAGGTGGTCTTTCTCTCCCCACCCCTCCCTCCCAAAGCCTTAAAGCGACAAGGTGAAGGAAGGAAGCGGATCAAGCGACTTAAATTGTAAATCCTCCGATCAGAGGAAGGAACTGGGCTGAGTGGACTTCCCCCAAAGTCTCGGCTTTTGGGGGAAGTTTGAGGGGTGGGCAACGCTGGAACCCCCATCCTTAGCTCACAGCCTTCTCCCACAGGGAAAGATTCCCTGACTCCGGATCGGAGTCGTGGAGAACCTCAAAATAAGGACAATTTCCAAAGAGGTGGAGTCGCAAGACAACGTCCCTGGAGGGTGTCAAGGGAGGGGGGTCCGGGTGGCAGCCCTGCCTGAAGGGGGTCCAAGGCGACAACGGGACGCCTGTTTGATCGCTCGCGGTCACTTTCTTCTCAGGTCTCCCAAAGTCCAGCTCCACGTCCGGATCAGGTGTGGGGAGAGAAGGTAAAACGGTCCCCCCTTTTTCGGGAAGGGGAGACCCCTCCCTTTCGCCGCAGTCCGACTCCCCCCCCCCCCCCCCCAAAAGAAGACAACACAGACCTCTTGCTCGACCTCGGCTCCCCCGATCGATGGGTGAGACTCGCAGCTCCATGGCGCTCCCCGGATCGGCGGAGGGAGGGAGGGAGGTCAGCGGGGGGGATCGCTAGGCGATGGAGAGACACAGAGAGACAGAGACAGAGACAGAGAGGAGGAGGAGGAGGAAGAGGAGGAGGGTTAGGTAATTCCACTCCACAAGCGCGCCTCTCTCTCTCTCTCTCTCTCTCTCTCCCACCGATTTGTCTCTTCCACCTCCCACACTCCCCCCCCCTTTCTCCCACCGACGCCGTCGCTCTTTCCCCTTCCTCCTCCTCTTCCTCCTCCTCCTCCTCGGTAGGAGATCGGGACGAAACAGGGCGATCCCGACACTGCTGCAAAACAGGGGATCCACCAGGCGCCCGCCCTGCTTATTATTATTATTTATTAACATTATTATCAATAATAACCATTATTAATTATTAATGCTTATTAATTATTAATAACTACTATTAATTATCAATTATGATAATTATCCCTCCCACACATCGCCCGTGATGAGCCTTTCTGCAAACTTCTGAAACCTGGAGAAGAGAAGGCTGAGACTATGACCGTGACTGTGAGACTCCATGTCTGTGACTGACTGTGAGAGAGCTGTTCGTCAGTGGAACTCTCTGCCTCGGAGTGTGATAGAGGCTCCTTCTTTGGAGACTTTTAAGCAGAGGCTGGATGGCCATCTGTTAGGGGTGCTTAGAATGCGATTTACCTGCTTCGTGGCAGGGGGTTGGACTGGATGGTTCACGAGGTCTCTTCCAACTCTAGGATTCTGTGTAGCAGAGGATCGTGGAGCCTTGCAGGAAACAAGACAGAGAAAGAGAGGGGCATGTAGCGGGGGGGGGGCTTTGGGGGCTTCAGCCCCCCCCCCGAAATTCTCATGGTGGTCTGCGAAAAGGCCTTACTGGTACATTATTTAGTTTATTCATATCATGATCTGATCACCATGCTCAATATATCTCATATGCATGGGGGTATTGGGGTAACGATACAAAAGGTTTGCTAGGGTAGACCCTCTTTCACTCAGACTCAGCCCCCCCGAAACCCAGCCCCCCCAAATCCCCCCCCCCCCCCCCCCCCCCCCCCGGAATCGAAATCCCGGCTACGAGCCTGGGGAAGACACTCTGAGGCTCTCCCTGGCTGCAAGGAAAGGAAAAAATCCCACCCTCAATACAGCCAGGCCCGGTAAGGGCTCGGATGGGAGGCGATGCTCCAAGGAATATTAGAGTTGGGACAGAGTTCCTCAAGGCCGCAGGGGGTTGGACTGGATGGCCAGTGAGGTCTCTTCCAACTCTATGATTCTAGGAGACTTGATAGCCGTGAACAAAATGATCAAGGGCCTGGAGAACAAGCCCTATGAGGAACTGCTTAAAGAGCTGGGCATGTTTAGCCTGCAGAAGAGAAAGCTGAGAGGAGATATGGTGCGGGTCATGTATAAATATGTGAGGGGATGTCATAGGGAGGAGGGAGCAAGCTTCCTTTCTGCTGCCCTGCAGACAGAACAGTGGCTTCAAACTACAGGAAAGGAGATTCCACCTGAACATGAGGCAGAACTTCCTGACTGTGAGAGCTGTTCAGCAGTGGAACTCTCTGCCCTGAGTGTGGTGGAGGCTCCTTCTTTTAAACTGAGGCTGGATGGCCATCTGTCGGGAGTGCCTCGAATGTGACTTTCTTACTTCTTGGCAGGGGGTTGGACTGGATGGCCCAAGAGGTCTCTTCCAACTCTATGATTCTGTGGAGCAGAGGATCGTGGAGCCTTGCAGGAAACAGACAGAGAAAGAGAGGTGGGAAGACACTCTGATGCTCATCCTGGCTGCAAGGAAAGAAAAAAAATCCCACCCTCAATACAGCCGGGCCCAGTTAGGGATCGGATGGGAGGCGATTCCTCCAAGGAATATTAGAGCTGGGACCGAGTTTCTCAAGGCAGTTGTGGGGGTCTGAGGAAAGGGATAGCGATTAGCGACCCTTCTCCTTAGCCTGCCTTTCTTTCTTTCTGCCTCCCTCCCTCCTTTCCTCCCCATGTAGTCCACAAACTCTGCCGGGGCTCAACTTGATGCGTGCGCTTTCCAAGTTGCGGCGGTCCTGAAGGGCGCTGAGATGGTCCCCATTTATGTGTAATGCAGATACATAACGATTCCTCCCCTTCCTTCCCTCCCTCCCTCTTTGCCTGACTCATCCGCCTCCTCTTCCCCCTCCCTCCCTGTCAAGCCCGCACTTGTGGCGCTGTCCGCGGTGCTGAATCGCCCAGGCAAGTGCTTCCTCTTTGCAATGGGAAGCCTCGACTCGCCAATTAGAAGAAGGAAAGAAGGAGGCAAATGGGTGCTGCGGGGGGGGGGGGAGTAAACACAAGCTTTCCCTGCCCTCCCCCTGCGTCATTCCCAATCCGGGACAGTCCCCCATAGGCACAACATTGGGGGCAAATGCCGCGGCCTTGAAAGTCTCCTGGCCCTCCTTAGCTTTTCCATCTCTCTCTGATACACATCCCTCTCGCCCCTCAGCGGGCATTCCTGTGCACACACCAACACTCCACTTGACTTTCTCTTCTCCCTCCTTTCCTGAGACCACCAAAAGGCAAGAACAAAAAATGCTTTCACTGTGTGTGTGTGTTTTGTTTTTTTTTCATCTGAGAGCAAATCAAATCCCCTCCCTTTCAGTCTGAGCTTTAGAAAAGGAGGGAGGCGGGGTGGGCAACGCTGAGGGGAGGGGAACTGCGGCTTCCCTGAATGGAAAAACTCGAATCATTCAAGGGGCGAAAGAGGCGACTTTCCCACGCTGGAGAAATGAAAAAGTGAGCCTCTGTCCAACAGTGCCACGGGTTTTCGCGCCTTTTCTATGTGGGAGGGGGTCACCAAGGAGGGGGCGCGAGACTCGGAGTTTTCTTGGCCTCCAGGCCCCGCCCTCTTGGGGGCCTCCTCAGCTCCCCTCCCCCCCTCAAAGGCACTACTGCGCAGATTCCCTCTTCTTCCCCCCCCCCCATGTTGTCACCCCCTAGTGTTGGAATGGAAGATAGCCATGGGATTTGGGAGGTGGCTGTGTAATGTTTAGATTTTTTTCATCTCAGGAGCGACTTGAGAAACTGCAAGTCGCTTCTGGTGTGAGAGAATTGGCCGTCTGCAAGGACGTTGCCTGGAAGTTTTACCATCCTGTGGGGGGCTCCTCTCATATCCCCACATGAGGAGCTGTAGCTGACAGACAAGAGCAAATCCCACTCCCCGCATTTGAACTGTCGAACTTTCAGTCAGCAGTCCTGTCAGAACAAGGATTTAACCCATTGCACCGCCATCCTAGTGCTTAGATACCCAAGGTGTTCAGATGTCCAAGGAGTTTCAGAACATGGACCAATTTGAAATCACACACACACTCTCTGCAACCACAAATTTCTCCTGAACTAAACCCTTTTATCACTTGAAAGATTGACATGGAGTTTGAAATAATTATTGCTAGATGCTCTCCCAGTAACACAAACAACCTCTGGTCATTGGCAAGATGGTGACCCTGCAACATAAGACCTAATTAAATATTCCCCATATGTGGAGTTATTTTTTTCCATTCCTTTCTGGCTCAAAATGGTTAATAGAACTTGATCATAGAATCATAGAGTTGGAAGAGACCTCATGGGCCATCCTGTCCAACCTCCTGCCAAGAAGCAGGAAAATCACATTCAAAACACCCCTGACAGATGGCCATCCAGATTCTGTTTAAAAGAAGGAGCCTCCACCACACTCCAGGGTGGAGAGTTCTGCAACAGCTCTCACAGGAAGTTCTGCCTCATGTTCAGGTGGAATCTCCTTTCCTGTAGTTTGAAGCCATTGTTCTGTGTCCTAGTCTGCAGGGCAGCAGAAAGGAAGCTTGCTCCCTCCTCCCTATGACATCCCCTCACATATTTATACATGGCCTCATCATGCCTCCTCTCAGCCTTCTCTTCTGCTGAAGAGAAGGCTTTAAGCCGCTCCTCATAGGGCTTGTTCTCCAGGCCCTTGATCATTTTATACATGGCTAAAATAATAGAATCAGAAACCTCATTGGCCACCCAGTCGAATCCCCTGCCAAGAAGCAGGAAAATCACATTAAAAGTACCACCGACAGATGGCCATCTAGCCTCTGCTTAATTAATACTGTTTTAATATTTGTATATTTTAAATTGTATTGCAATGCTATTAATGTTAGCCACTTTGAGTCTCCTTATGGAGATTAAAAAGCAGGATATAGATAAACATAATAATAATTTTAATTTGTCGCTCACCTCTCCTCCTGGCTGAAGATGAAGTACCAAATAGAGAGGTAAAACAAAGGACCATATGAATACATACATAAAACATAGGACAGGGTTTTAATTTCCTTCCTCTGTGTCATATCTATGGTCACCCACTTTCTAGAGAAAGGCAGGATGAAAATAGAAGTAAACAAACAATAAATAAAAACTTGTGAATAAATACATAGACTGAGCACCACGGCATGGCTGAGGACTCTGCATACAAATGTGACAAAATAAGAAAATGAAAATCATACAAAGAAAACAGAGTTATGTAGTATATATAACACTCAAATGAATACATCTAAGGGTGTATCTGCAGTGGCAAATAATGCAGTTTGAACTGCATTGTATGGTGAGTGCTGGCCCATAAAATGCAGTTCAAATGCATGATATTACATTATATGGTCAATGGAGACCAGGTATGGGCAAACTTTGGCCCTCCAGGTGTTTTGAACTCCAACCCCCACAATTCCTAACAGCTCTGTGATTGTAGGTAAACTATAAATCCCAGCAACTACAACTCCTGAATGTCAAGATTCTATTTTCCCCAAACTCTACCAGTGTTCACATTTGGACATATTGAGTATTCGTGTAGAGTTTGGTCCAGATCCATCATTGTTTGAGTCCACAGTGATCTCGGGATGTAGGTGAACTACAACTCCAAAACCAAAGGACACTGCCCACCAAACCCTTTCAGTATTTTTTGTTGGTCATGGGAGTTCTGTGTGCCACATTTGGTTCAATTCCATCATTGGTGGGGTTCAGAATGCTCTTTGATTGTAGGTGAACTATAAATCCCAGCAACTATAACTCCCAAATGACAAAACCAATTTTTTTTTTAGTAAAGGACATACATTGGGTTGTTAGGTGTATTGTGTCCAAATTTGGTGCCAATTCGTCCAGTGGTTTTTGAGTTCTTTTAATCCCACAAACGAACATTACATTTTTA